TTATAGCACTTTGCACTAACTTTCAGAGAAGTGCCCCTAAAGCACACTTGTTGGGGACAGTGGGGCTGTGTGTGGTTGCCCACTGAATCACACACCCTGGAGGTCGAGTGGACACAGCTGTCCCTGGCTCTGCACTGGACTGAGGATGTAAGGATAGGCCCCACATGCATCTGCAACTTGCCTCGCGCACAGGGCTCTGGTGCCCACAGACTACTCTGCTGTTCACAACGAAACGCATTCTGGGTAATTGGCTTCTTTGTAACAAGAGCGCCATCTGTATTGGAAAGTGTGGGATCTCCTAAGAATTACAGTAGTCCCTATTTTCTGAGAACAGAGGATGGAATTTGGGAGATCTTCGCTTCCTTTCAAACTTCATATACATCAACTGCAGGAAACTGCAGTAACAGTAGAAGTTTTCTTAAGCACTTTCTCCTTTAACCCACCAAAGATATGGACCATTTTTGGGGTCCCTTTGTGTAATCCACAGACAGCAGGGCCACTGAGCCTGCATTGGGCTCTCTGTGAACCGCAGCTCCAGTGGGGAGCTGCTCATGGAAGGCCAGTGGTGTTTGTCTTCACACCGGGCTCCCCAGCTCTGCCATCCCAGAGACAGCACTGATAATGTTACATGAGTAAGTTAAATATTAAATATTATTAAATATTTGTGTTCTGCAAAGCCTAACTTAAATATCTAGGTTTGCCCAGTAAAAGCAAATCAACAATGTTTTTGAGTGTTGCAGTAGCTTGAAAAGGCTGAGGAAAATAGGAGCATTTCAGAGTATTTTTCACTGCCATTCTTTGTCCGTCTCTGTTAGTGCTGTTATACTTTCAGTGTGAAATATAGATGGGGTGCACTGGCATAGAAAGTTTTATTGAAGGACCATTAACTCAGAATCGTAGGCTATGGCTGTACATTAAAACATGGGTAAATGAATGTGCAGTTTTAAACTTAGAGTCAAAATGAAATGCATTAGTGTTTGTGTGCATAATTCTGAAGTCGCTCCTCCGTTTTCATAGGCAGTAGTGGGGATCAAATCCAGACTTCACCTCAGGAACTCGGTGAGCTCTGCCCTCTGCCACAAGACTGAGCTACACAAGGGAGCAAGGTCCTTCCCATTGCGTAGGAGAAAGGAGACAAACTATTCCAGGCCCTTGTCTTTGCTGAAAATTAATAGAGACTAATTGACATAATTATTCAAAAGGTTTTTTAGCGACTAATATATTGCTATGAAAAGTTTAGCTTATGCAAAACATGTTGATTGTAATCTGAAAATTTAATTATTAAATAAAAAATTAGACCGAACTGATTGCAAATGGAGCTAAGCAACAGTCCAATATTCTTTTTTTTCTTTTTTCAGTGTTGGCGATCAAATTGAGAGCCTGGTGCATGCTGGGCAAATACTCTACCACTGGCTGCACCCCAGCCCTTAGCTCTGGTTCTCCATGCTGCAATACTGTCCTTTCAACTCTCTTTGGTCCCTCTCCACATCTCAGGAGTTTTAGAATCTACATAAAGGAAAATTTAAGGTCATGCACTTCCTAGTTCTCAACAAAGAGTCCGTATAAAAAATAGCTGCAGAGCTTTTCAGAGAGGAGATGACTTAGTGTCCCCTTGGAGATTTGGACTGAGTATAGTATGGCTGAAGTGGACTTGGAGAGCTGTACACTTAAGTCGCAAGGTGGAGAACCATATAAATATGACGTGGGCTGGAGAACCGTCCAGGTGCAAGCTAAGAAGCAGGGGCTGATTATATAGAAAGATCCAAGCAGGGAAGCCACATAATGCTGCCTTCATGCTGGGCTACACGTTCGGGGGTGAAGACGGCCGACCCACATCTCAAAACCCTGCTGACACGTCACGGCACACGCAGCTACCCCAGGGCTCCATTCCACCCCAAATACCCTGTAGTGCCCACAAAAACAAAAAGAAATTCTGTTACAAAACTCTGCGCCGGTGATTAAAAAAGCAGAAATGAATGAACAATAGTAATAGTAATGGAATTTCTCCCTTTTCGTGAATGACACTATGCTGCCACATACTATCCAAAACTGCTGTGTTTATTTACGACAATCAAATCGCATGGAAGACTTCATCATTCAGATCCATTGTTCATCAATTTTACTTCTCCTGTCATAGCTTAGTAAAAGTAAAAATACCCGCTGAAACTTAACTGAAAAGAATGACTTAAAATTGGCCTTAAAAAGCACATCATACTAAAAAAGCATTCATGATAAAGACCAAAATTCATTTGGTTGTGCCAAAACCTGCAGAAATGTTCAATTTTGGGTTGTGGCTTTTCCAAGTTAATAAAATAATTGTCTCTGGTACTTCATTTATTTTGTCTGATAATGTTCACAGGAAGTGTTGACTTTTTATAGGAGAAAGAAAATTGAAACCAGGCAGTCTCTGTGTTCCAGTTTCATCTTTTTTTCACATAAATTATTAAAGAAAATGGGTAATGCCGAGCTATGGTTTTTCAAAGATGCTTCAGTATACAGTTTGAGTCAGAGTCAGAAGACGTCCACTAACCACTGAGACATTAAGTTCATGACAGACTGAAAGAAACGTTTCATTCCAAATTTTTAATTTCTTGTAGACTGTTCTCCTTTTCATGTGAAGATGTCGAAATGCAGTTTAAGATGTGCTCTTAATTTCTCTGCAGCAGCCAAGAACTCCCAGAAGATATGGTGCTTCAGCTGAAACACCCGCATTAATAGGAAGATTTTGGGGGAGACAACTCTTTTGAAACAAAGCAAGTGTGTCTTGAGGGTATTAGTCATGGCCTGCTATGAAGGGATGTCACTTCGGGTACTGTTGGAACTGCTAGCTTCCTTGAGCTTCCTATGCAAAAGCCCTGCTGAGAGGGCACTGCTGCAGGGTCCCATGGCTCATACACCACCCCCACAAGGGTCCCACTGAAAAGGCCCCTGGACACCCCTCTCAGCAAACTAGATTTTGCTGGCTCTTCTGATAAGGAAGGGTAAGAGGAAACAAAACTCAGACAGGAGACTCATATAGGCTTAAAGCCAACATTGAGAATCACGTAAATCGCAAGGCTTGCATGTTGAGAGATGTTCAAAAGTATTACTGATAATCTAGAACACATATTTGTAATTTATGTGTTGATAACTCTAACAGAGTCCTGGAAATCTTATGGGGCAAGATGCAGCCCACAGATTCTGACCAACAGGAAAGGAGGAGAGAGGAAAGGGAAGAAGGCAGATGAGAAACTCATTGCTACCCAAGAAGGGTGTGGCCTGCTGGTCTACCCACTAGCAGTCTGTGGAGGGCTGAGAACGAAGAGGACACCATTGTAAGAGCTGTAGACAGCAGGGTGCAGGAAGTTGGAACAGGAGGGCTGCTGAGAACAGGCATCCGCAGTCTCCAGCCATTCTTGTGGATTTTTTTTTTTTTTTTTTTTTTTTTTTTTTGTCTTCAAGGGAAAGAACAGCTATGGAGGAAACAGCTCACTTTTACCATGTGCTTCGGTGAAAGCTAACTGAGTTGTAGCATATGATGAACATTTTTAATTAAGAAAAAAAGCGGTCGTTGTCATTTTCACCAGACTGCTTCAGAATTTTGGAGCTAATCTCATTTTCTGAGTGAAGAATTGACACTGAGGGGATTAGTTTTGCAAGTCTGAGTAAGGTATGACAGTCTTTCTTACATAACACAGAAGAGGGGATAAACTCCATAAAAACTATGATTAAAGGATAATTCCACTCTTGTTCCCATAATGAAAAAAGAATTGCTTATAAGTGGATACACTTGGTAAATACTTAAAAAGACATGAATTGATTCCATACTTAACAAGTCAGTATCTCTTAATTAATGTGCTGGTTTACCAGTGCAGCAGATGTTTACAGCAATAACTCACCATTCGGGAAAGTCACAGTGATGACAACTTCATGTTCATTTTTCTATTATCCTCAATGCTAATAATAATGATTTCAGACTTGGCTAAATCTATACTTATGGTCTTATTCTTGGGTGACTTCTTACATCTCATTTTAGTGGTGAAAATAATTGTGAATTAAAGTGGTTTGCAAAACAGTACTTTGGGAGAATTAAATAAAAATTTTATATTTTCAAATTGTAATTAAGGATAATATTAATAACTGCTGTTTCTTAAAGTCCAGCATGCCAAAGTGCTTTCCCTGTATTACTTCTAATCTCACAACATCCCTGCAGTTTATGTGGGAGTTACCATTGTCCTTGTCCAGTGAATGAAAGAAAGTGCATGAGTAGGTTAAACCATTTGCCAAAATCCAGTCCACTCGAAAATGGCAGAGTAAAGACTCAGCCTATTAATAAAGGTGCAATTCAAGGGCCTTTTCTGAAATTTAGGCAGTTTCCCCCAATATGTTTATAGAATCACATCGGGAGAAGGAAGTCTTAGAATCAGACCTAAAATCCAATTATCCATTATCAACCTGAAAGAAAAGCCTCTACCTGATGCTGAGTTCTTTACACCAGAGAAAGGCGGGGAGGGCTCGCCACTAAATAGGAAGTTCATTCCTTATTAGAAAACATTAAACATTAGACAGCTTGTTCACACTTAGTCAAACTGTGCCTCTTAGAATATCCCTGTGGGATCACTGAGCTTCCCCTAATGTAGGGTTAGGATGATGCAGACTGACTCAGTGAGACCAGGGCTTTCCACGAGGGGGCTAAGGCAGCTGGCAGCATTGCCCAGGGGCCCCCACTTTGAGCAGCAGGCTCAGTTGGGTTCTTCTGCACAACTCATTAAAAAAGCTACCAGACAGGGGTCTGTCTCATTCCTTTTTTTCTCTGGGTTAAACAGCCCCAACTGTTCACTGTCTCCAGACATAACCTCCAGATTCCTCACATCCCACTGGTAATTTCTAAAATAGCCCACTAATTGAAGCCTTTAAAATGGTAAGCATATTTTAATGTAATCAGGTCATGGCAGGTATCAAAGGGTTTTGCATTATTATGACCTAAAAACTACTACGAATGTAGCCTAAGTACGTTTTAGACTTTTCCTGGCCAGTAACACAAAATGAGCTCATAGCCAAATCAATCTCCCCATTTATCAAACACTGAGTTCTTAAGTTACTTTGTCACCCTTACGCTGTGTTCTTATAGCTAATTTTTTATATTTTTGAGCTGGTATAAGATTTTACAATTTTCTCTGTGGAGTTCTATCTTGTTGGCTTCTGCCTACTTTCCTGTCTTGAGTTTGTGGTTCACTAAAGACTTCAAGACTCCAGCTAGGTCCAACTCCGAACTATTAACCTGCACTCAGAGCGCTCAGCTGAGAACCTCATAGCTGCAGACAGCCTGACACCGGAGACCTCCTTTGATTTACTAAAACTCCTTGCTGGCTCTGGCTCACCATCTGTGATCCTACTAATGGGACAACTGCATTGTCACCAGCCACAGTATCTAGTTGCCTAAAAGGAGATCAAGCACTTCTTCACCATTTATTTTCTTTTTACTGTTGTAGACAGGGATTTGTCAAAAAAACTCACAATAGGAATTACCCCACAGTGTTGGATGTAAAGTAATAATTACTCCATAAATGAGGGTCTTTGCCCATTGCTGTACCCCCATATCCTACCAGCAAGTTTAGTGGGTAATAGTACAAGTACTGATGTGAAATTCTGCTTGGATTACACATGAATTCAACCCTGTGCTGTATCATTTTGGAAAAGCTAATTTCCTTAAACTCAGTTTCTTCTTGAAGTAGGGATAGTATTAGTCAAGAGGTTTGACATAAAAACTAGGTAAGAACTTCAGTGCAGGACTGGTATTCGTCAAGTGCTGGAAATTAGCATGATGATGGGGTGATGAGGGTGTCTGCTGTCACTGCAGAGACTTTGGTGGCCCTGTCTTGCAGTGGTTACCCTGGGTACTCCTTCCCCCTCGCTCTGGATTGGACCTCTGATCATCTTCTCTGAGTAGTGTGCACCACGGTGACATTTCCACGGCCGATGAAACTGAAATGGCCTGGAAGCTTGTCTCCTGGGCAAGGGGGATGCCGACTGTACCCAGAGCAGCCTGACAACTGAGCCATGTACCTTGAGAAGCCCGCCTAGCGCGAGGGAAGGTCCTGTGGCGAGATCCCCTTTCGACCTGCTCCCCACGTGAGGCCATGGCTCCTTCCCATGCTATGGATGACCTGCAGCCAGCGCAGAGCCTTGTGTGCTCAAGAGTCCCCAGGGTCTCTGTCCCAGTTCCCTGACCCTCCTTCGACCAGGGCACAAATCCAGACAATACACAGTGTGGTTCATCAAATAATTACAGCAATATGGTTTTCCTCTTGATGCACACATGGAAATCATTCACCAAAAAATGATTTATGAGTGTTTTATGTCTAATGAAAATAATGCCCTTAATGTAAGCACCATTTTATTCTTCAAATAACTCACATGCATCTAAAAATGCAAAATTTATCATCCGAAGTGAAGATAACCTTCAGATAAGACATCAAAAACCACTGTAAATTCTTCCATCTTACCATTTTATACTCCTTCCAGCCTCTCTGAAAATCTAGACTCCCATCTTCACGGTGCTGAATGACAGTCCAGCCTCCCCCGTTCACATCCATATTGCAAAATACCTGACAAAAGAAAACAGCGTCACGTGAAAACCACACCTACTTAAAGGAAACTGATGTTTCAAAGCAGAAAGAGCACAGGTGGGTCTACCAGAAGAGGAAGAAAGGCAGCTATGCTGGAAAATGGTATACGACTCTTATTGGTTATTTCTTCCCTAAACTCATGTTTGAGTTGCCTCTGAATAAAGTCCATCAATAGTGCTTTAATGACTTTTAATACTTTAGATCAGGCAGCTGAAAATTAATAGTCTCAGGCTATAAAGCAATTTTTAAAATGTCCTCCTCTTAAATGGAATCAGGCATTTGTGTAAGTTTAGATTTTAAAATAACTGCTAACATTTCCAAAATCACATATCATTTTATGGCCAAAACATAAGACTCAAAATGTTTAAACCTCCCATTAAAATGGTAATATCATAAGAATAATGGTTTTGGGAAAACACTTTTAAAAATTATATAGATTTCACTATTTCCTATTTTGTTGCATAACTCCTATATACTTACATACTATTATAATTATTCTTGATTGCTGAATGTTACATTAGAGGGAAAACTCGGTCTTGGCATACAGAGAACACATTATTTGTTTAACTTATAGTCAAGAACAATGAGACGAGAACATGACACACTGTATTCCTTCTGATTGTGACAAGCATTTCTTTCTCATGTGGAAAAGTTATAGAAATCTCTCAAAGACTTGTGCTCAGTTCAGTTATTCTAAATACAATAGTATTTATTTAAAGCTTGATGCATTTCCCCGTAGGGTCCACGGGGGAGGCAAACTGCTCTGCACCGCGATGATCCCCCGGAGCGCGAACCCTGCAGCTATGAAGCACGGACCTGTGTCTGGTTACTCCAGGGCTGGGCTTCGGGACACCACAGCCGGGCTGGACAGAGACGGACGTCAAAGGGCGGCCAGCATGTGGAGAGGGTGCCCTGCAGCAAGCAGGCAGGGACAGCCCAGCTCTCAGCTCTGACTGAAGGGGGCCTCAGCATCTCCCCAAGGCCTGGCATCAGATGCAGAGTGGCCAAGGGGCAGGGGAGCCATGGTGGGAACTACCATTCAAAGGAGAAGTCCGTGAGGGACAGGAGACACGGCTGCCCGTGCAGAGGGATGGACGCCCACTCTCCGAGGGTTTCCCTCTGCTCTGACAACGGACACCCACCCTAGGGGCTCGGGACTGACTCATCTCCAGGACTGTAAATGCTAAGTTCTCCCTCGCCTGTTCCTCCCTCTCTAACCTGGTCTTTCTCCTCAACATAACCCCTGGCTGCACTTTCATCCTGCTTTGCTCTAACTGGTTCCCTCAGTTACTCTTTTCATCAACAAGCATTCTGGGGCACTGACTCTTTTTCACGAGGGAGGATATCATGATGAGTGAAATATGGATCGTGTCCTCGAAACACCTCCAGGTTTCAGTAACGACTGTTGCATAGGATACAGGCACTGAAGGATACAGGACACTGCTCCATTGGGAAAAGAAGACATTGAGTTAATAATTGTCAGCTCTGCCGACTTGCGGAACAACAAAGACAGCCATCTAAGTGAGAGGTTTAAGAAAGACAGCCGACACGTGAGAGAAGAAAGAGGCGTCTATGGATGTTTAGGGCTTACAGTAGCACAGGAGCTTATTGACCAAGCAGAGCTGGGTCTGCCAGCAGGTAGACCCAAGGTGCAAATGTGGGGGATCGGGTAAGAATAAGAAAGAATCCTCGGAACCAATAAAATGTGTGTTCAGTGTGAGATAAACACTCTACATGCATTTTCCAACTTAATCTCACAACTTACTGAAGAAAGTGTGCTTATTATTTCCATTTTAAGGGTAAAAAAACTGAGGTTTAGAGTACTTCAGTAACTTACAGATGGATATACTTAGCAATTAGTACCAGATCAGGAATTTAGACTGGGTTTAGGATTTGAAAACTGTGTCTACCTAACTCAAAATTACCGGGAGAAGTCTGCCTGGAAGAGGCAGCTGCTGCCCTGCAGATGGTGGGTTATCTAGAGAAGCAGAGGAGACGTGTCTGGAGGGGTGAGGGGCAGCGCCCATGCACGGGGTCGGGAACGACTGAAGCAGCTCAGACACATCCGCAAGCTCACACGGGAGGCTCCTGGGGTTCATTTGCTGCTATCTTCAAGAACCTCGAGTAATGCGTTGCCTCTCACAGGGACTGAATTAACTGGTTTAATAAATAAAGATGAAATAATAATAAAATAAGAAAATGTGATTAATGCGATGCAGAAAAAGCTGGGGATGGATGCTGAGCTGTGGAGCTGATGAAGTTAATCAAGTGCTGCAGAGAAGTCGAGGCAAACAAAGACGATGAAAATATGCATCTACATCTGAAAGGAAGGCGGCCCTGGCGACCTTGGCCGAGACCATGCAGGGTTCCTGTGAGAACAGTCATGGGACAGTTCTAATGGGGCCTGCGGGTGACCTGAGAGAAGAGGCAAGGCTGAATTTTCCCAGAGAAATTTAAGCCAAAGTAAAGGGAAGTGAAATATCAAGGAAACATCTTCCTGGGGAAACTGGCATCACTAACTTATCAATTAAATTTTACCCTTCTAGCTGGGTGTGGTGGCAAACGCCTGTAATCCCAGCACTGAGGAGGCTGAAGCAGGAGGATGGTTGTGAGTTTAAGACCAGCCTGGGCTACAAAGTGAGCTCAAGGCCAGCCTGAACTGCACAGCGAGACCCTGTCTCAAAAAGATAAAAAATAAAATAAAATAAAATAATAACTTTTACCCTTCCTTACCCGGTTAAGCCAAAGCCCCCTTCCTTCCCTTCTTTCCTATCTTCCTTTTGAGAGATTTTTACTTCCTAATGGAACGTTTGCCAAACTGTTTGCAAACCATGCACTGCACTTACATACTCAGAGTAAGAATCTCCGCATTAATATACAGGCTGTGTGGGGCAAACGATGCTGTACGGTTGTTATGACTGTTGCCTGTTACTGAAACTCAATGCACTCTGTTTGAAAATCACATATTTTCAAGAAAGACAGCTTGCCTTTCAAACAGGCACAGAGGTGCCTGACAAAGCGAAGGGCAGGGACTGCATCTCAGGTGAAGACCTGAGACAGCGGGGCTCCCTGGGCGGGGCAGTTGCTCAGGCAGAGACGGGTGTGGGGCTCTGACCTCTGCATCCCAACTCTGGGAAGACGTGGCAGTGATGGCTGCCGTCTGTGGACCGTGGCTGTCTGTGGACTGTGGCCATCTGTGGACGTGGCACAGAGACCCGGAGGGCGCACGGTTGGGGTGAGGCAAGGGTCAGGCTGTCCTGATCCAAGCTCTACCTCCACTCTAACAGGTGAGTCTCGGGACTGGAGGAGTCCCTGCACACAGAGGTTTTGGAATAGGGTTGGGCTTGCAGTGGGCACTGCCACTACCTCTCTCTTAGATCTCACAAAGAAGAAAACACATTTGCACATCATGCATGATCTACTATATATATACAATATAGTGCATTGTACTAATTTAATGCTTTGTATTACTTAACATGCACCAATACTTAATGCATTGCATTTAATACATTGTATTTAGGTGATTGTCTTAATTTTGCACATGATGTAAATTACTTATAATGTATTGCAATATATGGAATATACAAAACAGGCAGGAGTTCAACAGACTTCCCTTATGATTATGAAGACAATCCTAGTTACAAACACTGGAATCACTGATGGTTAGTTGTTCCACTTCTTACTAGATATCTGTTTAAGAAGTTGGATTCACTTTTGCAAAAACAATTGCTATTTAATCGAAAGGCTGAAAAACATCTCTTTATGAAGAGGTTCCAGGGACTGGACGGCTGGTCCCAGGGGGGTCTGTGTGCTCAGCGTGCTTCCTGGGGACGAGGCAGGCACAGCTCCTCCGCCTCGTGCCTGTATCCATTCAGCTTGGGCTTAATTCTCTCCAAGAAAGGCTGGAACTGGCTCTGGTCCCAGGCAGGGTCAAAGTTCTCCAGTATTAAACACCTTTTAACATAATATGGAGGTTTAAACCCAAACAAAAAGGGGAAATTTGATTCACATAGTTTTATGCCTTTATGCTCCATACAAGTTGGAATGATTAGCCTTGTGGATGTTAATTATTTTTCCATAACCTCAAATGAAGAAGGCTCAACACATTTGTTACAGTCCTTTTCCAAGAACTAGGGGAATTATGAGTTCAGACACAGTCTTTTAATATTTTACAGTAAGACTTATGATTTAATGATTTGTTTTCTTGGATGAAACTGAGCTGGCTATAGGGCATTTGGTTTTAGAAACTTAAGAAATGAAAGGGAAAAAAATCCTGTTTTCTACTACTATGCATCGATGGGAATTTAAAAAGAAAATAACCACAAGCCATGAATACCATGAAAGCAAAAAGGAAGATGGAAAAGATAGAATTCTCATTTTCTATCTGCTTGAAAAATTAAATCGTCCTGGAAAACCACGCTTGGCCTCCACATAACGTTTGAAGACCACACTTTTCAGTCTTCTACCATCATTTTTTTTCCTGGCACCGAAACAACAATTGCATGGCAGTTCATTTGCACATGCAGCTCTGGCGCTGCCAGGAGGAGAACGATTTCTGCTCTTGTCCCGTGCAGCCCAATGTCATTGACGGCTCCACCTCGCATGTCACACGCACTGCTCTGTTGTGAGTTTGTACTCAGGTCTCATCCTCTCTAGAACTTCTGAAAGTGTCACAGAGGAGACAAGGTGTTGCTCACCTTCCCAAGGGTAGCAGCGGTCTGCTTTTAAAATCGATGACGCCTGGTCTCTTTGGAAGGCTAAAGGCCCATGTCTCGTCCTAGCACTCCTTCTATAAGTCTGAGGGGATGCCAATGGTTTATGTCAAGATGGGAGCAGAGAGTGGAATTGTAGGCTGGTGACGGGGACCGAGGTGGGTTACCCTGAGCACAGGAATCACTTTTTCTAATTAGAGAGTTGCTGGTGTCACCCATGAGTCTACAGCTCCACAGCACTAAACTATACATAGGGCAACTCTCCTCACCAGGAGTGGAAATCAGACCATGCAGGGCCCCGGCTGAGGGGTGCAGCCCGGAGCCGGACCTTAGCTTCCAAAGCAGTTTCGGGGTTCTGACCAAGCACACAGGCATGCGTCTTCTCTCCGGTGGGGACAAGGGTCCCCTCTCCCCAGTGGCTGTGCAGAGAGCCAACAAGAGGGGGGCTCAAGAGTACCCCCCAGAAGAGGGCCTAGTTCAACGAGAGATGCAAAACAGCGTTTCGCCTGAAACAAGTGTCGGTGTGTCAGTCTGAAGAAAAAAAGTGACTGTGAGAGAATCTGTGACCACAGAGGGGATGAGATAAAGAAGCAGGAGGCCCGAAGTCCAGAGGAGACCCCACACCTCTCTCCCCGGCTCGGGCGCGCCTCGCCCCGCACTCTGCAACCACCTGCATTTCCCCACTAAAGCAGCCTGAGCAGCAGCCGGGGCAGGTCGTGTGTGGATGTGGACTTCTTCCCTCTGAAAAGCTGCTTTTCTGAAGTTTCCCCAGGAGACAGTCAGAATTGTGGGTGAAATCTTTTAGGTTTTATTTATTTAAGAACAATTCTGAAGCTCTATTTTATGCAAAAGCCATCACTGTGAAGCGGTGTAAGTTTACAGCGTTCTGTCTTGCTGGAAACAAGCCAGGTGCCAGCCACCGAGCTCATGAATTAGACTCGCTCTGTGGACCAAAGCTTTAGTTAAATACGAGAAGGGCTCCAGGGGGTGCGCGTCTCTGTACCTGGCCTGTGCCCCATTTACCTCCACCGTATTTCCCACCAGAGTGGGGCTGTGCTTATGACGAATGTACGGCAGCGCCTCCAAGTGCGGGTGCTGAGCAGCCCTGTCTGCAAGGCTCAGCCGCGAGGGCCGCCTGAGGGCTGGGGAGCAGGAGCAGGCTGAGCGTGAAGATCGTCCACCGGGAAACTCTGACGATGAGTGTGTCTGTGCATTCGCGTACATCACGGGGGCATCAGGGCAACGGCCTCGTTTCTGCTGTTGGGCTCTAAGATGTGGTGCAGCCGACCGCAGGCAGGGTTCTTCCAGTCCTGGACAACAGCGCTGTGAGGCCGCAGAGCAATGAGGAAGGTCTCTCACACGCTGTGGCAGAGTGTGCACATACGTGTGTGCATGTGCGTGTGTGGGCAGACGTGTGCAGTGACTGCAGGACCCGAGGCTCCTCACCCGCCTCGCGTCCTCGCATGGCTGTGGACTTGTGTTCGTCCCTTTAGTTTGAAGCCAAGGAGCCCGTGGTGAAGGAAACCTGACTCGAATCCGCAGGGCAAGTCTGCTCGGACCAAGCCTCTCTCCTCTGGGGTGGCCCAGGTGGCCAGGTGGGGTCCCGCCTGGGCTGACACATCGGCCGGCCCTCAGCTGTGCGGCAGTGGTGCCCAGGCTCTGGAGAGGGGCTTTGGTCCAGAAAGAGGGGGACGAGGGTGCTCCCTGAGATCAACAGCCCTCGCTGCAATCAGAGGAGGCCCAGGTGTGGGAGAGACCGCATCCGCCGACAGTGTATGGCCGGGGCGCCTTCCTGACGACCGGACACCGACACCAAGTCTTCTTCTTGGCCTGGGAAAGGAGCTACACTGGCTCACCAACTGTGGACTGCGCAGGGTGTGGACATCGCCTGCAGGCCACCGCCATCCCCTCCGCTTGAGGAGGCTGCATCTGCCCGGGAAATCCAGGGTGGACAGCACTCTCCTGCCTCAGCCTTGCCCAGGCTGCGTGGCTCAGAGGACGTCACCAGGAACAGGGACTCAGCAGGGACAACACAATGTATGCTACACTGCCCTGTGAGAGCAGGGCGCCAGCGGGCCTCTACTGTCTTTTAAGTAAGGGCAGCAGGGTGCTTGCCTGGGACCCCAAACATTCACCGACTCACCTCAGAACTCCCCACACCCCTGCTTGCACAAGCTGCCTGCACCCCGAGAGCACGCAGTGTTTTACAGCTGTGGGTGCGATGTCTGTCTTCCTGACACACCCGGAGCTGCTGGCTTTGTCTCCCTGTCTGGACAGTGACCCACAGGTGAGTGTCACCCCAGTCGTGCAGCGTGAAGATGTGGGGGTGCACACGCGTGGGGGGCGTGCACGAGCACCTGACAGCAGGGAGCCATGTCTACCGGCAGCCAAGTTCTCTTAGGGTCCCATTCAGCACACATGGAGAAGGCTTCTCCAACCCACTCTTTTGTGCAAAAATGAAAAACAAACCCTTCCAAGATCGTGAGCTGAGATAGGGTGTGCTCTCCCACTTGGGAAGGAGCTGTCTGCACACGCCCTGGTCTCCTCAGTCCTCGGAGGTCGCTGATGTGCACCCTGGGGTCCCCGAGGCTTGGAAAGATGGCTCTGAGCTCCTCCCACACACTGGGGGTGATGTGACCTGTGCCGTCCATAATCTTCAAGGCACCCATCCCAGAGAATACGGCGCCCGTGAAGCAGAGAATGAAAGAAAAGCTTATGTGAAGAAAGGACGGAAGGTGCTGGGACCGGAAGGCATCTGTGCAACAGCGCTTCACCCGCGGGCGGAGACAGTGTCACGAGGGGAGGGCAGAACTCGGGAATAGATGCACATATATCTGCTTTAACAAGCCCACAAATCAATCTGATTATCCAGCAATTCAACTAGCATCTGCTTTACATCTCATAAACAAACACTTCTGGTTTTACCTTTTTGGGTTCTGGCATATTATTAATATAAATAGTGTAGATTCCACTTTTATTAAAACCAGCTTGATATACATCTGCACAGTCTCTAAATGGTTTCTCTTCCTCTCTTTTTCCTCCCTTTAGCAAAACTGCAAAAAAAAAAAAAAAGATTGCGAATATCAATACGATAGCACCTAGTGGGCTCCAAGCACAGCTGAGCATGCATTTATCTGCTCCATACAATGTCAGTTATGCATTTACTGAAAAGTCAAATATACAGACAACACTACATGCAAAGGTGATTTACACAACTGAAAAACTGAGGGAAAAAACTGTAAAGCAGTATCTAAGTAATCACTTACATTTTACTTGATTTCTTACTTTTTCATTTTTCTATGCATTTTTTGTAATACATCAACTCAAGGTCATATAACACCACAAATCTATGTCAGTGTTTTCTGAGAATTTCTAAAATTGTCTTACCTACATTTCATAGGGAAGTTTTATTCATCATCTGCAGCACTTTGGCTCGAACCTGGGCCTCAGGTACATTGGAATGTTCTACCACTGAACTACTCCCAGCCCCAGTGGGTTGGTTTTTTTAAACCGAAACAGTTTTTGAAGAAAGAGATGAAGCAAAATTCATAAAAATGTCATACATTTAAACCCTAAAAGTAGCACTATTGTTTGCCTTTAGATCCAAGAGCTCCTAGAATTCTTCCCCAAACAAAATAACGACTCTCAAATAGATTGGGAAAGTAGAAGAGTCTACAACCCAGTCTAACTACCAAGAAAGGAAATGTAAGTGCACTGCGTTCAGAGCCCTAACGTTAGACCATCACAGATGATTCACAGACAAAAGCACAAGCAGAGGAGTAATGCTTTGGAATTAAATTGTACAGGGAGGAGAGCCACCCGAGAGCTGGAAGCCACAGAACGTGCAAAATTTTATTATACATTATCTTTACTTGGAGCCTTATTTCTTCTTGAGTTTTACCTATTATTAAGTTCTTATTATGGAAATAAAATACAAAATAACTCATTTAATAGTTCTTAGCTTGAGATCTACATGACATATTTATAAAACATTTGTGATTTAGCATTTTCTAATAAATGTGTATATATATATAATTGTAGTGCAGGTTTCATTAAAACTTTCTAGAAATTAAGATTAAGAATATTTTATAATGTCACATTTGAAGTTTCTCATTACTTAATAAATACCTGCTTTCCAAAACTTTGTTTCATTATGTCTCATAGTAAAATATGAAAGGTAAAGTAAGATTCAGCGCTCTTAAACTGACCCTTGTGCTTGAAACATCTAAGATACCAGCCTGATAAACTTTAGTTGCATAAGGTTTCTTAATTTTTAGGGAATAAGCAGTCAAGTCTTTATGGACTCATTATCTTAATGTAAATAGTATGAATATTCAAAAATACTAAATTATGTTTCAAAAAGTGAAATATTTATTGGACATGAGGCCATAAAAACATGAAAACATTTAGAAAGAAATATCATCATTTTCTATGTAGCTCAGATCTACAGTAATGGTTACATCCACAGTTACGATAATCACTGTATCTAAACACCGCCATCACAACTGAACCACAACACGGAATAAACTTGTGAGCGGGCATAAGCCATCAGCGCTTGCGCTAGTGAAGAAGTAGTGCACAGAATACCAGCAAACAGCGAATGTGATGTGTGCGTAGATGCTGACTAGAAAGCCAGCTCCAGGGCACCGGGTCTCTCACGTGGTTATGAAAATGTACACGTTTCCAAAGCATTGGTGCAGTTTCGGTGTTTGCTTACTGTAACTTTGCAGACTACAATTTCCAAAAACAAAATCTTCCTGAATGCTCAAGACTTGATCTTTTTTGTGTTGAAAAGTAACAAGCAACCTCACTAGGTGAGCAGAGCAGGGAAGTGAAGAAAGAGCAAGGGCACACAGGAGCCGGAGAGGAGGTTGGGCCCAGAGAGATGCCCCACCGCCCGGGGCTTTCAAACTCTTGGTCTTCTGGGGAGAAAAGTCCCTTCTCTCTGCAGAAGAGCTTCCTGTGCTGAACCTGCCCCCGCCTGCACACCGAGGCATGGCTGTGCAAGGGAAGGCAGCCCTCTGCCTGCACCCTTCCCCATCCACTTCCAGAGGACCCCGCAAGGGCTGCGTGTGGGAGGAGGAAGTCGTCCACTCACCACTCCAGGACCAGAGGACAAAGGAAAGCACTGGCTCTTACTCCTGTGGAAACTAATGTCGAATTCGGGCGCAAATTCTGTACCTGGGAAAGGGTTTGAGGGTTCCCCCATCAGCCGAGCCACTAGTGCTATGGTTACCTAGGAAACCGCATTGTTGCTATGGTAACACAGGGGACAGAGAACGCTCCCTTCACTAAAATTTGAATTGGTATTTCTGAAAAACCTGACATTCTTTCCAAAAGCTAGTCATTCTTTTCAAAAAGATTAGACTGTTGCTAATTATTTGTTGGTCAGCAAACATCATTCCTGCAAGTTTGATCCAGGCTACCTTTCGAGCATTGAGGCATTTAAAAGTCAGTTTATAAGGTCCACCCAAGCTCACCTTTGGTATTTTTATTATACATTATCTCTTAAAGAAAGCTCCTTGTGTAAGGCTGCAGGTCTTGTTTTATGTTTCAGCCTGTGGAGTGGGGTGACTGTAACGGCTTCTGAGGTATGCAGGCATGTGAAGAGCAAAGGGAGGGGAAGGAAGCCCAGGATGAGCGGGGGAAGGGTGTCCCTCGTTGGCATGGTAACGCTGCTCACACCACTAATGGCAGCACCGGTGGAATTATCACCCATTCTTACGGGAGAGGCTGGCAACGTGCATGGAGGCTGCTGCCTCCTCCCTCAGGTTCAACAGGGCAGCTGACCGGATCCAGGGCGGCTGCAGTGGACTGGTCACCCTGACCGACTCTGGGTGGAAGCCGGGTGGTTGGCTTATTTCATCCACTGACTACCGCAGGTTACACCACATGGTTTAAGTCCGGGAGAAACGTGTGATGAGCCTCACTGTGTATTATGAGCTTTCCCGCAGGAGTTAAGACTCGAAGATCACTTCAGATGAAATGACGCATGGTGTGCAGGCCAGCGCGTTGGGTGTGCTTTCTGCACGACAGTTCCTGCTCTTATACACTGGAGAGCTCAAAGGTCAGGGTCATGCTTAGATATCGTGAAATTACACACAGTCAATACTGTAAAACACAAAAACCATATCAAAAATAAGTTCACTGAACTTCCCATGCGTCAGCACTAGTGATAATGTTTAGGAGGTCTTGAGATTCGGAGATGGAGAGCAGAGTCTGAGGGGCGAGTGGTACAGGACAAGAGCTGGATACCGGGGGCTGGGGATTTAGCTCAGCGGCACAGTGCCTGCCTGGCAAGTGCAAGGTCATGAGTTCAATTCCCGGGACCAGAAAAAAAAAAAATAAATAAAAAAGAGCTGGCTACTGAAGACCAGGCGGGAGGGGACAGGGGAAGTCACAGGGACAGAGGCGAGGAGGAGCGACTCTCTGGGCGTGGTGCAGACATTCTGCAGAGCATGAGCGAAGCTCTGCCTCCACACCTGGTGCTTTCTCTTGGCTGTGTCCTCGCCTTTCCGCATCCTGTTCTTTCACTCGTGGTGAGAATGCCTACCGCTGACTGAGTCTCTGTCTCCCCCGCGCCACCAGCCTCCCAGCCTCCTTTCTCTCCCTTCCGGGCCTCCACTCTGGGCCCTGCACCCCCCAGTGACCCCCTCCCCCCAGCAGGGGGCAAATCCTGCCCCGCAGTCACCGTAGCCCATTTCCCACAGGGTATATTCCAAAATCTCCACTTTTTTCAAGACCTAATTAATCCCTCTCTTGCCTCTCTCGGTCTGACCGCTGGGCTTGCTGTGAGGATGGAGCCCTGGACTCCTCTCCTTCCCTCCTCAGTTCTGAGGCTGTCTGGGCCTTGCCTTCCCTCACCTTCGCTTGCGTCTCCCTCGGGCCGTCTCTCCTCCGCTGTCCCTGTCCTCGTCCCTGGCCCACCACGCGGTGCTCACAAGAGCCCACACTGACCTCCAGTCCTCACCCAGCTGCTCTCTGCAAACTGTCGCGGCTTCCATGAAATGAGATCTCAAGATGCCCGCGTCCGTGGGGACTGCTCTGAAGCCCTGCGTGTTTGCCTGTCTCGGCCTCACGGTCTGTATTTCCCCTCGTGAGGCACGCACCTCCGTAACCCAGCTTTCATCCATTTCATCTGATCTAATCTTCCTTCCACACTTACTGATCCTATTTCCCGTCCTGGTCGTCATCAGTTAAAAATGATGAAAGTGTAAATACGAGGCAGACTCAGGCTTTTTCATCATCTCTCTGCTTCCAGTCCCTAATTAATTAATTAATTACACGTATGCTGATTGCACATCTGCTGTTGGTAAGATGGAGAAACAGACTTGAGGAACCAAAACCGACCCCTCATACGATCACAGGCTGCTCAGAGGAAGAAGCACAGGGTTGATCAAAACACACAGTGAATGCTGAAATGTTAGAAATGTTAAAATCATTGGAGTAAAGGACACATTGCCACGAATCGCCCCAGAATCCTCTTCGCTTCACACTCATTCTGCCCCCCTGCAACTTTCTGACCCAGTTCCGACCTAGGCAGAATGAGGATTTATTGGTTCATGTCGTGGAACACCGAGGGCGGATCGTGGGCTGAGGCGGCCGGGCTTCTGAAGGTGTGAGCGGGAGTCCACTTCGCCCCCTCCCGACCCCCGCTCCTGGCTGTCCACCAGGGGAGACAGCAGCGCGCAGGCCTGCGGTGCTACCGCCTTAGAGTCCGCGCTGGCAAGAGGTCTGTGAGTTGCGCGTGGGGCACTGGGAAGCACACACTAGAGGGCACCTCCAGCGGCCCGAGGGGCGCAGGCAGCGGCACGGAGGAAGCTCATCAAGCCCGTCCTCCGGCCTGGCATGCAGGTTACAGCAAATCATCTGGAAAGTCCTGGGCAGCCGCCCCATGCACAGTTCTCACGTAGCCCTCTCTGCGACAGCCAGATCTTGTCATTTAAGGGAAAGAGTGGGCAGAGGCAGGTCCATGTCCACCCATCTCTCAGTGGGCAAGTCAGCCAACAAACAGCCTGAGAGCAGCCCGCAGCTGCTGGTGTAGGCTGCTCTC